TATCTGATAACGTCTCTAGCCACTGTGTTGCACCATCTCTAGGACCCTAACCAGGTAGTCGAGATGGACAAACACAAGCCAGCCCTTTCCAGCTTTCCTTTATACCACGACATTATGTCGTACACTGACCACCTCTCCGCTTTTTCCAACCGGTCAGTGTCGGCAAATAATGCACGACGTGGAATTCTCTGGGACGACATTCGTAGAACACGTCCAAGCCACCGAAGTCGGTGTTTCAAGATGGTGACACCAATTGAATTATCGTCTCTGCACCCGAACACACGATGCCAAACCTCTGCATTACTAACATAGTGTTGCCACTGGATGTCAGAAATCCTTCGGAGACAGCGATGATCGAACACAGAGAGTCTTCTAACATCTTCAACTCGGAGAGGCCAGGTTTAACAAGCATAGAGCAAAACTGCTCTCACCGACGCGTTGTAAATCCGACCTTTTACAGCCAGACTGACCTCACGAAGGCGCCAAAGATGGCCAAGATTGGCATAAGCCTCTCTGGCTTTCACTCACACAACCACCAGCATTTACGCAGCAACCTAGATAGACGAACTTCTCGACCACTACTATTGCTCACCATCCAGGGTGAGTACAGGCTCAGGGTCCTGCCAGTCTTGTAGAAGTACTTTGCACTTCGAAGGTGCAAAGCACATACCATACCTACAGACACTGATTGCCAACTGATTAAGTGCGCATTGCATGCCTTGGGCATTATCGCACAGTAAAACAATATGCATGCCCTCACTCTTCCTGAGATGGTTGTATTTAGGGTTTACAAGATGTTATTAAACTTCTCAGACACACCCTTCTTCAATAGAAAATCCCAGAGAACAGTCCTATCCAACGAATCGAAGGCAGCCATGATGTCAAGAAACACTACGATTGTTGGCCTTTGATAAGTATGGCGGTGTTCCAACATTGGGCGGAGGGTGAAGATATGATCAATACAACCTCGACCAGAACGAAACCCAGCCTGCTCCTCGCGAGTCAATCTTTCTCGGGTTTTGAACAACCTACGAAGTATGACGGAAGCCAATAGCTGGGATACAATCGGAGGTAGACTTATCCCCCGATAGTTTTTACAGGAACGACGTGAGCCCTTTTTAAAGATAGGGACAACTATCGACTCATTCCATGACGTTGGTACACTCTCTAGTTCCCAAACCTTTGTAAACAACGTCGTCAATTCCTTAGTCAGAAAGTCACCACCATCTTTAAAAAGAGCCAGAGGTAAGTCATCTGGGTCAGGTGATTTGTAACGCTTCAAGAGTTGGGGGGCTTTGCGGACCTCCTCCTCATTTGGTGGATCAGTCGTCACCGGCCATGGAGGGCAGGACAGTCCAGCCGAAGAATTCTGCTTCGAAGAATTCTGCCCATCAACCAAGACGTCGATGGATGTTAGTGATTGGCATCCCATCATCCTCGCAGATTGTTTCGCTCACACCAAACTTCTTGCTGCCAGTGGCTCGGATGAGTTGGAAGAGCTTCCGGTAGTTACCAGATGCAGCTGCTGCTTCCAGCTCATTAGCACGCTCCGACCACCAGGCTTCTCGGTCCTTACGTTTGTGGTCAGACTCACGTTCAACCGGAGTAGACCGACGGGCTTCAATGAGTTGTAAGGAGCCTGAAGAAAACCAGTGCTTATAGGCGGAACGTTTCGCGAAGCCGTAAGCGGCTTTACTCGCCATTTTCATGGCATCATGCAGTTGCAACTAATGCCCATCTATACTTTTCGGTGAAACGGTAACTAGCCTAGAAGCTAGCTCGATTCGATACTTACTAGCAACAGAAGTTGCAACCAGCTTGCTAACATCAATCCGTTGATGGCGGTCACTTCGTTGTCCACTGAAAAGTAAAGTTAGATTGGCGCAGACCAAAGCATGGTCAGAGTCCAGATAGGTACTCCAAAAGGAGCGGCAGTCTTGTACACAACCACGCCAGCGGTAGCTGATCGCGACGTGATCAACCTGAGTCCAGGCTTGAGATGCAGAGGGAGGACACCAGGTGGCACATCAGCGATGACTGTGCTGAAAGTTAGTGCTAGCCAGAAACAGGTTGTGGTCTGTGCACAGTTGCAGTAGACGGTCCCCGTTATCTGTCCTGCGACCAACGAGTCCCCATCGGCCACCTAAACGACTTTCTTCTGTGCCTAGACGCCCGACCTGAGCATTCAAGTCACCGGCTAGTACTACAATATCTGTCGAATGCACTTTCTGGAGAAGAACAGATAACTGGTGGTAAAACTCATCCTTGATTGCATCCGGGCTGCAATCTGTCGGGGCATAGGCGGAGATGACGAAAAGACATCGTTTCTCACGCCGATTTCTTCTCACTTTGATGGAACTCTCTAATCTAACAGCACATAACCGACTGTTAATAGGGATTCAATCGATTAGTGCTGCCTCAGGTCTAACGCTTAGTGCAACACCAACGCCAGCAAGACCAGACGAAGATGCCACAGGGTCCCCGGATAAGCGCACGTAAAACAAGCTTTTCGAAGCGACAGATGGAGATCGAATTTGTAGTACTTCGCCAGAGTCTTGAGTACGGGTCTCGGATAGACAATACACGTCGATATTAAGACTTTCCAAAGACATAGCCAGCCCTATCTGTTGTCCGACCTGCGTAAGTGTGCGAACGTTGAAGGTAGCCAGTTTGAATCGTGCCCGTGATTTCAGAAAAACTGCTTCAGTACGCATATTCGGTGGTAAGAGTATAGGATATCCTAAGGTTACTAGTATTTGATCATAGGTGTCCCCGAAATATTGCTCGTATATCCTGGGACCATCGAGTAAGTAATGCAGTTGTTAGGAAACGGGTACTAGGTAAGGATAGCAAATCAATTGATGACCTAGTGAAACTTCATCAGTTGAGATTGCTGAGACATGTGTTACGTATACCCAACCATCGACTGCCTAGATGTGCGATGTTTGCTGTATAGGAGTAGATTGGAAGAAAGCTAGGGGCGGCCAGACCTAAACATGACACAAGTCCATGAAGTCACTGACAAGTAGACTGAGTCATATTGGTGGGTGTAGACTACCTGGTTGGGGACTGCGAGATGATAGCAACCGATGGTTAGAGACCTTGAATGACATGGCTCAAAATCGTTTGCAGTGGGGAGTGCAGGTGCATCCACTCTTTGTGTTCTCTCAAATTCTAATCTTCTGAGTTCTTCATTTCCCTTTCTTTTTTCTCTTTCCAAATTTATTTCACTGGATTATACTCCTTGAATAACATCTTCAAACCCTAATTTTTCTGATTACAGCTTATAATTTGCTGCATCTAGCACTACGGGATTTGAATCGACCACTGCATCTCTGTGCCAATGAGGTGTGGCAACTCGGACCGATGTACATACGTACAAAGTTCTACGTTGTTACTGACTGACTGACTGGTAACATACAATTTTCAACCGGACAGTGACTCGAGAACGTTTAGATACAGTCGAATTTCCACCATAGACGAGCTGCTGTACAAGTCGAAAAAATAGGTATAGACAGTAGGAATAAAAGATGGTGAATAATGACGTAGTAAATAATGGTAATAATAATAGTAGTAATAGTAATAATAATAATAATAATTCGAATCATCTTATTGTTATTTGGAGCGAGAGGAATATTTTTCACAAGTAAATAGTTTATCATGTTTTTGTGTGCTGGCTGTGATACTGCCCGGGTGCTCAAGTCGAAGCAGGTTGTTTTCTTAGGGAGCAACACCCCGATCCTTCGACCTAAAGGTCTAACCCACAAGGCAGTGGAGCATCGTGAGGAAATGCAGTCCCATGGTAGCCGGTGACAAACAGTTGGTTCATACTCCATTTGTTCCCGCAGGATACTGGAGACCATGTGCACAATTGGTTTGGAATCCGGTTAATGTGCCGAACATTCGCTTTTCGTCCTATCATTTTCGCAAACAACCCCCCGTCACGAGAAAGCAGTGAGTAGGACTTCCCTGGCAGAGGCTGTATACGCGTGGCCGTATGAAAGTATTTCGAGAGGGAGGGTGAACCCACCCCACTCTCGGCCATACCAGGGCATTTGGGTTGACTTGAGAGACGAGATTAAAGCTGATGAAACAATTTTACAAAGAGAGTATTATCACTAGTATACAGCAAAGTTCTTTTCCATAAAGTATGAGCTTAAACTATTCAAAACGCACCAAAATCAACACAGTAGCAAAACTGCAACAATAGGTCGACAATTATCGACTAGACGATGTAAATGATAACGCGTTCCTCGAGGGCGAAAACGGCAGAAATTATTTCTCCATCGTGCCGGCTAGTCCATGGCGCGAAACTGCTTGGTGCGCGCCGGTTTTCCCTGAGATTGACAATAATCGGCAAATTATTTATTATTCAGTGACCCAACTGCTGGATGATTTGTCTAGGGCCCTGTGATATTTCATTGGCCCTACAAATTCATTTTTGGTTCGTTTTTCTGGTTTCCAACGTACCTTTGGCGACATCTCTTTCTCTCTGAGTGGAGATGAAAAAGCAAGACGTCCACATTTAGCCTCTAAAAAACTCCGAAAAACTGTATCTTCATACTTGTTCGGAGATGACAAGTATGAGTGAGTTCTCAGTGTATCCGTCCGTTTAATTTCACGAAAGGTTAGCAATCACAGCAATTCATAGTAAGTCACCGTTGGAGAGTGACAAACAAGGTCGAAGTTTTGTAAATTATTCTTAGGCACATCGAAGACAAAGTGTGATTGAGTATTGAATAGTTTTACAGTACTATGACCTTCAGGTCACATCCAGCTCATTTTCCTTGAATGTGCCTGTCATAATCGAATGTAGGGTATTTACAATCCTTTTTTGTTGACTTCTAGTTATATTTGTATCACTTATAATTTTCTCCAATTGTTTTTTTGTTATCGAATGTATGTGCATCCTATGTCTCTGTCAAGTATCGATCTGCGTTTACTCATGTTCTTTTGTTTAGACTTAAGCTGTCAAAGGCTGAACGTTATATGAAGTTAGGATGGCAGTTAAAGTTGCACTTAATAGCTTACGGGTTCTCTGCATACAGAGTCATGTTGTACATGGATATGTCGGCAATAAAATAGCTGTTTTTCCTTTGCAAGTTAGTTTCTTTTTGTTATATTTTTGTTTTATAGGTCTTAGGTATAGAAGTTGACTATATTAACTCTGTACAGTTTTCAAATCACACAGGTTTGCGTACTACTAGTCATAACGTATACAGGCTATGCTTTTGTCAAGGGACAGGTGTTGGATGCTGCGAGCATGAAAGATTTATATCTTGGTTTGAAGGCGAATGGCCTCAACAAGTATACTCATGTGCTCACAGGTACTAGTTAATATCATTTTAAATTGTTCGTTTCCCGGTTTCTAGGTTACCTGGGGTCACCAAGCTCTTTAGAAGCGGTCGCAGATATTGTATCCGACCTCAAAAAAGAGAACTCAAATATAAAATATTGTAAGTGCACATAATTTGGTAAAATTTACTCAAATAGACTGCGATCCCGTCCTAGGTGATAATGGAAAGCTTGTGAGTTTCTCTGTCCGGTCATTTCTAAAGTCTGCATATCGTGCCTACTACGGTCAACATTCTCAGGAGTTCAGATATTGATAAAGACTGAAAGCCAATAAGTTGGAGTACGAGAGGTGACGTAATATCTCGGCCATGCCGTAGCCATACTTAGCCTCCTACCTATTCGTCTGTGTTATACCTTCAGCCCCATATATTTTAACTGAGCTCTCAGATTAGTTTCAGTTAATAAGTTTATCATTATAACATTCTGGTGATGTAGCTTATGTCGATGCTGGTCGTCCAGAAAACGGTAAATTTTTATGATAAATGAGAGTGAAAATGATGCACCGAATCTCTGCTTGACTCAAGAGAACTGAGAAGACATGTGTGTAAGAAAATATAGCAATCGTTTATAAACTACAAGTCGTTTGGATAGTATGGTCACCTAACAAGTCATTTGTTTTGGCAAACACCTAACATATAGGTTTTAACTTAAAAAATCTATATTTTTATATTCATGTTAATGTAATGAAGTGACTGACTTTGTATATCCTGCTTTGGGCCATATTCTAGTCAGGCACCGATGATAATATCCAACAGTCTGAAGGGAAAAATATGGATATCAAAGACAAAGTTTCTTCAGTTTTCTTGTTATTTTGTTTTCGACTAAAATGGTTTTTAAGTGATTCATATACAACTATCAAATTTATTATCTAGTTTGCATACGCTATGAATTGTTCGTGGTTTAAATTCCTGCTCCGTTTGTTTTCACTAATGTATTCACGACGCACAATGACATAGCTTATATGCAGTAACCAAAATGATTTAGTAGTACTTTTGCTGAGACTACAATTTATGGACGACCTTTGAGCGATGCTAGATTGACCTTGAGTGTTCACTTAATAACCAGGATCAGATGAGGATTATGAATCCTTTTTAGGAATTAGAATTAGGATTTACAGTCCATGATTGAGCTTAGAAATTAGATTTCGATTTTTCATCACGAACTAACATAAGCTATAATGCCGAAAACTCTATTTATCCAAATGAATGGGTGAATTTCGCTCCAAAACCCGAGACCTGTTATCTTACATGTGATTGGTTCATCCATAAATTATAGTCTCGCTGCACTTTTACCTAGATTATGCATATTCAACTTATCTTGAAATTGTCATTATTTAGAAGCAGTTTGTTTATATTCGCATCATTACATTTTCTCAACATGCTTTGTGCTGTTTTTCTGACGATTTCAGTAGCCGTTGACAAGTGCTTACAATTAGTCAGCGCCCAGCTTTTAAAATCAAAGTAGCTACTATTTAAAATAAAAGATACATAGAGTCTCATAAGAGTAGAATATATTGGAAAATGAATAATTTTACCATTATTATTTAGTTTACTCCCCCACTCCACTTGGTGTCCATATTCTTGTACTTTTTCCAGTCTTTTTTTTGAAGTGTTATTGTTGTTTTTCGTCAACTTTGACTAAATGTTTTTCGTTTTTCAACTATTTTATTTATATCAGTACGTTCCACCCGAACTCGTTCAGATATACCAAGAAAAAATACTCCCTTTATCAGATGTCATTTTGCCAAACCAATTTGAAGCAGAGTAAGGTTTATCTGTTGTTACTGTCATTGTTAAATGGTAGCTGTACATATGATTTGTCTTCCTATAGATATTTTTTGATGGCTGTCAGTCGTAAGCTACGTGTATCGTAGCACGTCTGTCTGTTCAAGTTACTAGACTATCAGAACAGAATTAAACAGTCAAGGCAAATGCTGGAGTATTAGAGGCAGTATCAGTTGTATCAGAAAGTACTAGGCCTAGACAGTGTGATTCTAGAAGAAAGAAGGAATTCGCGAACTAGGACGTACAATGTAATCTTGAAACTCAAGATCTGAAGATGAAGAGTGAATGCATCTGCATCATTTTAACCTATTCTGAGCCATATCATACAATGTCTTACGCCATTGATTACGATAATTATGTAGACTCTAACCAGGTAGTCTCTACCTACGTACAGGACTCAGTCGAATAGTCAGTTACTTCACGGACTGATTTTGTGCTTGAATTTGGTCACCCAAAACCAACTCCTATTTCAGCTAACAGCACACATCGAGGTAGGCGATAGTTAGGGATACTCAATGCACGTCCCAGTTACCTCAGTCGATTAAAACTGATTACCTATCTCATCAATCTATTTGCCATCTTTCCTTAGTAACCTGTGTCTATCGTCAGCATTTCTCACTCAGCGGTCCCAACACACGTAGCCAATGTTTGTAGGTAAGGACTAATAATAGTCTTAAAGCACTAGGCTTCCAACCAATATGCCACAGATTTGAACAGCTGTATCCCATTGTTAGTTTTCAACTAAAATGTAGCTCAAAATGAAGATCATAAACGTGTGCTTCGTAAATAAGTCACATCGGTTCATATTAATGTACTGTCACAACTTATCTCGCCAAATTAAATGAAGCCGCCTAGGGTTTAAACTCGTAACTCAGTTAATAAAATACTCCTTCCATAAATAAATCATTATAATATTATGTAAATCATGCATTGTACTATGCATTAATTTGTAAGTCTCATTTATCTATCTTTATGTATTACTCTTTACTACAACAGAATACTAAGTGGTATACGAATAACGGATGAAAAGTCTGCTTTAAATTGTATCAACTACTTACATAAAAAATATCATATTCCAACTGTAATTATTACAAGTACTAATGTGACTTTATCACCAGTAATGTATGGTTATGGAAGCCGTTTAAAGAATCCAATGAAAAATAATAATAATAGTAGTGATTTGTTAAATCAAACGAATGGTTCAGTTACGAACAACACTTCAAGTAATTCCTTCTGAACTCATATACTTGCTTATCTGTTTACTTTTTCTTGAAGCTACTAAGTTTATCAATGTTATATGATTAACAAAATTCCCTAATGTTAGACAATTTGATTTATCTCTAGTTATATTATCACGAAATTTACAACAGATTGTTACCTTTCAATTATTAACTCAGTAGAAAGATATCTACTAGGCCCCCAAATGCCGTGGTACGACCGAAAGTGAGGCGAATCAGCTCTCCCTCTCGAACGCTCTCATATTGCTACGTACATGAAACCAATGCCAGGGAAGTCCTACTCACTGCCTTCTCTCGGCATTACTGTTGTTTACGAAATTGAGAGGACAAAAAGCGAATGTTCGGCGCTTTAATCGGGTCGGTGGATATGGAGAACCCACCTAAGGGAGTTGGAAAACCCTGATTCTAAGCCAATGGTGCACATGGGCTCCAAGATTCTAAAGGAACAAGTGGTATATGAAATAATTATTGGTCATCGGCTACCATATGACTGCATCTCCTGACGTTGCTCTACTGCCTTGTGGATTAGACCTTTAGGTCGAAGGCTCGGGATATGTCCATCTAAGGAAACCAACTGCTTCGATTTGGGCATCCATACAGTATCCCAGCTCTCACATGAATCGAATGATTTATGTGGCGCATATCTATTTGGTGCCTTTTTGTACGAATGTTTATGTGTTTAAATAAATAAATAATAACTAGTTTTTTTGCCAATGTCTATAAATATCTTCTCTCGAACCATAAAGTTGGTGACTCGAACAAAGTAAAGATGACTCTTACAAATTTACTTAATATGAAATTTCACAGATTAAAATCATGAGTCATTTGAAGCTAGACCACCATGGAAAACCTGGATCGTGGATGCGCACTGCCGAGGAGTCCCATACTAGAACGAAACGGCCGTCCAGTGCTTCCAGGTTTTCCATGGTGGTCTAGCTTCAATTGACTCATGATTTCAATCTGTGAAATTTGTAAAATCTCCACAAACCCCTTTTGTTAATATGAAATTGTCATAAGATGGTGATTTTAATACGCATTCCAGCTGATGATGATGTCAGTACTAAAAACGATTTCCAAAAAATACATTTTTCGGTTTGGAATTCCAATATTACACCATTTATCTATCTATTTGTTATAATTGGTATTGTACTATTATTATTTTGAATCTTTTGTAAGGTTTTAAATGTTCTTTTGTTTCAAAATTTTGCAGAATACGATCGTGTACGTTTTAAAATTCCACATTTTGATTACCATTTTATTGGAACTGGAGATTTATTCGCTGCTTTAACATTAGCTCATTTAGAGACAAAAATTGAGAATGAAAATGGACAACAAGTACCTAAATATTCCTTCAAAGTAATTCAGCATGATCTGCCATTGTTTCAGTTCTAACCATAAAGTATTTTCTCGCTCATTTTATTTCATTTTCATTTTATTTGTATGTGGGCTGTGATACTGCCCGAGTGCTCAGACCGAAGCAGGTGGTTTTCTTAGAGAGCCACACCCCGAGCCTTCGGCCTAAAGGTCTAACCCACAAGGCAGTGGAGCATCGTGAGGAAATGCAGTCCCATGGTAGCCGGTGACCAACAATTGGTTTATGCGCCATTTGTTCCCTTAGGATACTGGAGCCCATGTGAACCATTGGTTTGGAATCAGGGTTTTCCAACTGCCCTAGGTGGACTCACCGTGTCCACCGACCCGTTTAAAGCACTGGACATTCGTTTTTAGCCCTCTCAATTTCGTAAACAACAGTAATGCCACGAGAAGTCAGTGAGTAGGACTTCCCTGGCAGAGGCTGTATACGTGTGGCCGTGCGAGAGCATTTCGAGAGGAAGGGCGGACCCACCCCACTTTCGGCCATACCAGGACATTTGGGCACTAAAATGCATTAAAAACGCACTAAATAATCTTTAGGTTATGGGATCATGATTTCCCAACCTGTTTTCTTGTTTTATCCTTTTTTAAGTTAACAAGTACCTGTTTCACTTTTTTTTCTTTTTTAGGATGCTTTCCAATCGGTTCTTAGTACAATCCAAACTGTTCTATCAAAAACATTAAAAATATCCGAAGGAGGTTAGTTGGTTTGATTTGTTCTATAAGATCCGTCTATAATGATTACTCATTTGAATGTAATCCCATATGACTGGTCTTGATCACTGATCGTCTACATTTACAAGAAAGTACAAAAATCCTCTTATGACTGTTACAGAGCAATCGTCCGACACTTAACTAGGGAAAACCTGACTGGTTTCAGTCGAAACAAGACGATACATGATTAACTTTGATGGAACACAAATCCTTTAATATCAGAAAGGGGTTTTGTGGATATTATAGTAATTTCATAGTTGAGTTCATGATTCAGTTGAAGCTAGACTACCATAGAAAACCTGGAAGCACTGAATGGTCGTTTCGTTCTAGTATGAAACTCCTCGGAAGTGCACATCCACGATCCCCGCCCTGTGAGATTTGAACGCAGGAACTATTGATATCGCACGCGAACGCTTAACCTCCAGACCACTGAGCCGGCATCGAATGGTGTTAATGTCTAACTTCAACTAATCCACGAAATTGAGCTACCATCCACCATTGTGTTCAGTGAGTTACTATCCCACACCCAACATGATTGAACTTCAGTGGTCGCAACTTTTTAATAGAACTCCCGGATTAACTTCTTGAAATTAATCACTACTAAGCACATGATTATTATTAGTATAAGAAATTTTGTGAAACTTGTTAATTTCCATTGTTTCCCATCAGCAAATGACCTTCGTGATATTTTTTATTATTGATGGGTTTATTCAATATTATATTTCGGTACAATATAGAATTCTCAGCACAAGGTATTTCAACAAGTTCCTTCTACAAAAAAACAACAATAACAAAAGGAAAAGAGTGGAAAAAAGATCTAAAAAACTGTACAACTTTCCAAATTAGAGACATGTTTAAGAATACAGGTTATTGACTAGGTTAGCTCTAACAACTTGTTCGTCACGAAGTATATGTGCTCGGTAAGGTATTATAGGAGTTTTATACCTAAATGCGTGGATTTTAATGTATTGACGTCTCATCCTACCAGAAGATATACAAGGAGAAAGATAAGAGTGAAGGGGATGGTTAGTATCTAATAAGATAACACCTGCCAGGAGTTTGCAAGACTTTAGATGTCTATCCATAACCATATTAATAATGACCTCGAAAGATTCATTACACACCTTACTAAATGCCTTCAGCACTCTTTGCAATACAGCAAAGTCTTTTCTTAAAAACCCGGAAAAAAATAATGTAGAACAGTAAAGAATAATAGATAATATTCAGGAATCGACAAATTGTAAGAGTAAATGACGAATAATCCCAAGAGCATGCAGTCAGATGAAAAACTTTCTTCAGTAACAGTAAAACATGAGAAGACCAAAAGAGATTAGAGGAAATGGTAACATCAAGTTAATTAACCTTCAACACTATGCGACACTACGGAGTTCCTGGGAAGATTGTCAAGATTATCCGGAACTCATACGACGGACTACAGTGCAAGGTCGTGCATGGAGTACAGCTGACAGATGCATTCCAAGCAAGGACCGGAGTCAGACAAGGCTGTTTACTCTCTCCCTTCCTCTTTCTTCTGGTGGTCAACTAGATTACGAAGACCTCGACATCTGAGGGAAAACACGGCATACAATATACAGCTGAGAATCAGTTAGCCGATTTGGACTTCGCAGATGACCTAGCCCTCCTATCGCATGCACATGAACAAATGCAGATAAAGACAGCCAGTGTAGCAGCAGTCTCTGCATCAGTAGGCCTCAGCATACACAAGGAGAAAACCAAGGTCCTCAAATTCAAAACGAAGAACAGCAATCCAATCACTCTTGATGGCGAAACTCTGGAAGATGTGGAATCCTTCACATACCTGGGAAGCATCATCGACGAACAAGGAGGTTCAGGTGCAGACGTAAAGGCGAGGATTGGCGAAGCAAGGGCAGCATTCCTACTATTGAAAAACATATGGAACTCAAAACAACTTTCAACGAATATCAAAGTCACAATCTTCAATACGAATGTCAAGGCAGTTCTACTGTACGGAGCCGAAACTTGGAGAACTACAACAACCACCATCAAGAAGGTACAAGTATTTATAAATAGCTGTCTACGCAAGATACTCAACATCCTTTGGCCGAATACCATCAGCAAAAGCCTTCTCTGGAAGAGAACAAACCAGCTTCTAGCTGAAGAAAAAATTAGGAAAAGACGATGGAAATGGATAGAACATACATTACGCAAATCGTCAAACTGCATCACGAGGCAAGCCCTAACTTGGAATCCTGAAGGAAGGCGGAAAAAAGGAAGGCCAAAGAGCATATTACGTCGGGAAATATAAGCAGATATGAAAAAGATGAATAACAACTGGAAGGAGCTGTAAAGGATTGCTCATGACAGGGTTGGATGGAGAATGCTAGTAAGTGGCCTATGCTCCTTCACGAGGAGTAACAGGCGTAAGTAAGTAAGTAAGTACTGTGTTAATCAAAGAGTTTCTAATGGCACTAACATTATAAGATCTCAAAATGGTGTTTTAAACTATTGATTTTTCTCCCTACAACTATATTTCACTGTTGTTCCTCAATTATGTTTGGTGTAAACTGATCTTTCTTTCTTTTTTTTAAAGGATCATTGAACCTTTCTCAATCTGCACGAATCGAACTTAAAATCATCCAAAGTCTTGATGATATTCGAAACCCAATATTAGGGGATTATGTCGAAGAAATGTAATTAAAGAAAAATATAAAAATAAAGAAGTTTCATATGTATAATACATTTTTTGGTATTATACTATTCCTCTGCCTATGTATGTATGCATGTATGGGTGTGTGTATGTATGTAGATTCCCAGTTAATCTTTCTCATCTGTAATACTTTCACCTTTGTTTACTTTAATTATCTAAGAAATGAAATAGAGAATTAGATTACATTGTTGGAGATTTTAATTGTTTTCTTTCTGGCATTGTGGTACTACTAGGTCGTATACATTTTTAAGTGGGTACTATTGTAGTGTGAGCTACTTATATCTACATAAATAGTATATAACGATGGTCAGACATTAGATGGTGGTTGGAGGTAGTCGACAGGAAACCCTGGACCCGGGTTTCTTGCTACTTGGCACTCGTTAGCAAGGTGTATCTGTAATCTTGATGGAACTGGTGCTCCCTGGCAGATTCGATGGTGTCCAAATTGCAACATGATCGATAGCATTCGATCTGCACTAAATAAGGACTAGACACGCATGACATTGATCGCCACCCAGTGATCAATCAATTGTGATGTTCGGGCATTGAATGTATTTCAGTAGAAGATCGAGAAAGAAAGAATGAGAACGGAAGGCAATTGGTATGAAAATGTAGGAACAAAGAAATCTGAAACGATGGATTGATATTTGCTAAAGAAACAACCAAGTTTGAGTCAATGGATTGATACTTTGCAAATTAAGTATTTATGGTATGGTTGTTAGATTTTTAATGAGATATTCTATAATGTTGTGCTCAACTACATTCGATTGCCCTTACTCGTATTCTTGTTCACTATTCTATGACATTATACAGGTGGGAAAACTTCGTGTTTACGGTGTTTTTTTTCTGTCTATTTATTTATTATGTTTATAAACCACCTTAATTCTTCAGTTGATATCAATAATCAAATTATACGTTAAGAAATGTCTCTATCACTCTGTTGTTATTCATATTTATTGTTGATACTCTGTTACTTTTCGTGGAGAAATATAAGTCACCAACTAGCAATCTCCATCCAACTCTGTCCTGGACAATCCTTTCCAGTTGCTATTCATTCTTTCGATATTTACTTCTAATTCTTAGTGAAGTGTATTATTTGGCATTCCTCTTTTCTGTTCCCCTCCAAGATTCCAAGTTAGCGATTGCCTCGTGATGCAGTTTGATAATTTCCTCAATGTGTGTCTTATTCACTTCCAATGTCTTTTCCTAATTTCTTCAGCTGGAAGTTGGTTTGTTCTCTCCCATAGTAGGCTGTTGCTGATGGTATTCGGTCAACGGATATTAAGTGTCTTGCGTAGACAATCGTTTGTAACTACTTTTACTTTTTTCATGATAGTTATAGTAGTTGTTCACGTTTCAGCTCTGTACAGTAGGACTGTCTTGACGTTCGTTATGAAGATTCTGACTGTGATATTGGTTGACAGTTGTTTTGAGTTCTATATGCTCTTCAACTGTAGGAATGCAGCTTTTGTTTTACCAATCCTAGCTTTTACGTTTGCATCGGATCCTTCTTGTTCATCAACGATGCTGCCACATACGTGAATGTTTCCAACTGTTTCAGAGCTTCTTTATCAAGTGTGATTGTATTGGTGTTCTTCGTGTTATATTTGAGTGTCTTGGTTTTTCCCTTGTGTATGTTCAGGCCTACTGATGCAGAGGCTGTAGCTATACTGTTTGTTTTGACCTGCATTTGTTGGTGTGTATGGGACAGAAAAGCTAGGTCATCTGCGAAGTTTAAATCGTCTACTTGATTCTGAACTGTCCACTTTATTCCATTCCTCCCCTCCGATGTGAAGGTCTTCATAATCCAATCAACCACCAGACGGAAAAGAAATGGAGAGAGTAAGAAGCCTTGTCTGACACTGGTCTCCACCTGGAATTCATGTGTCAGTTGTTCTCCATGTACGACATTGCAGTGTAGTCGGGCGTATGAATTCCGTACGATGTTGACGATTTCATGTACACCATAGTGCCGAAGAGGATTCTCTTATCCACGTTGTAAAATGCTTCCTCGTTTACTTACATGAATAAACTCAAATAAGGTCGATTTAAATCAAAAGACCCTCAGAAGGAGGTAATCAGCTACATATTGGATTTTTAGTAACTGTACAACTGGATAGACAGAATATTTCTCAATGTATTTGTGTGTTAAGTATAGCTGAGTAAAAAAGATTGTTCAATTAAGCAACATACTCAACAGATTAGGACGTTTCATTGGTATGTTTTTGAGAAATAATGGAAAGTTCTCCGTGTCATTGTATTGACGTTCGTGCATTCTATAGTCAGTTTCATGATGTTGATAGAAAATTCAGTAATCACAAACTCTTAAATGCACAGTAGATATTCACTTATAAGCTCTATATATATTAGTTAGTTAACACCGAAATTACTTAACCCATTTATAATAATTAAAGAGAGAGAGACATTAGTTAGAGAACTATGAGAAGCTAATAAACACTGGATATTTAGTTCATCTTAGAATAGGATTCCTAAGAAGTACGCCCTCACAACTCTCATCACAATGTGATTTATCCCTTGGTGATTGATTTACCTATGCACATTTATTTAAATCTGAAAACTAGGTCTCATGATTTTATTGGATTCCTAGATAATGTCAAAATGCATATAAACCGTTATGTACTCTAAAGTGAATTTTTCCATTAAAGACAGTGGTCTAGAGGTTAAGCGTTCGCGCGCTACTGATAGGTCCTATGTTCGAATCTCGCGAGTTAGGGTTGTGGATACGCACTGCTGAGGAGTCTCACGATAGGATTAAACGACCGTCCAGGTTTTCTATGGTTATCTAGCTCCAATTGACTCATGAACTCAACTATTAAATTGCTATAATATCCACAAAAACTTATACTAATCAGCACATGCTCACTAGTGACTGGCTTCAAGAGGTATTTCCTGGAGTTCTAGCGAGAAGCAGTGACCAGTGGAGTTCAACCGCGTTTGTTTTGAGATGGTAACTCATTGAATACAATGGTGGACGACGATGCAATCAACGTTAACAATGTTTAAAGTAGGTATTTGCATTTGTGTATAAGAGACATGTGTGAAAAGTGTTAAGATTACAGATTGTGTGTATACGTAAATGATGTAAACAGAAATTGGATGACCTACTCAGTATAAAGTGAACTAAAGAACCATGTACCTATTTATATTCGATCAGTTTGATTATATTTCCTTGAAGAAGCTTGGACCAGATTAACGGGCAAAACGTTGGATTTACTTCGAATTCATTCGCTGAGATTTCTACAAATACATTCTTTTTTCATAAGCAATGGTAGCTTAAATACTCTCCAGTTGATGACCAATGGATTTCTAACAATGATATGTTTATATATAGTAATGGTCACTTTGTAAAATATAACACACTGATTTTAAATTACAATATAATACCTTCAAGGGTGTATATTGTCTTATTTTCGCTTCGACTATTGATCTATTCATGACTGCTACAATTCGTATTAGATAGACTTGGAAATCCTTCCACAGTGTAAGCAATTGCGAAGTGATAACCGTCTTCATACTTCCAATAGCACTCAAGACTATTGTATTCATAATCAACCTCCATCTTCAATTCCTATTATTCCTCCAACATCGACTTTCAACTTCCTCTTTTGGTTTCCTCCTAATGTGTCATCATAGCAAACGATTCAACATAGGGAATCACTAGTTTGTTTATTACCTCATTACTCTCAATTCTACTTTTCATAAATTGTTAGTTGAGACAGTCAGTACTCTCCTAAGAATAGAAAGCCAACTGTTATCAAAGTATATTCCTGAATATTCATAGAAGACAGTACTGCAATTTAAACATTTACAACAGAGCTAGTTTAATCTTTGAAGTAAAGTTGAAATGATTAGACTAAACCAGTACTTCAATGGATTACCTATATTCTTTCCTATTCCATACATTGACAAATACTGATAATATAAAATACGAAGTTGGCTTTCATCAATTTATGCGATAGAGTGTTAAGTACTTTACGAATTGACAGTGTAAAGTACAATAATGGCAATTCATACTGCGGTGTGTACTACTGATGTCGATAGATATAAGTAGTATATATCATCAATCAAAAGCGGTAGAAATTTAAGGAGATCGAAAAAAAATAGAACGAGAACAGAGAATGATTGGTGTGGAAACGAATAAACAATCAAGTCCGAGACAATAGACTGACATTTTGCAAATGAAGTATTTACGGTATGGTTCTCAGATTTTATTAAGAGATTCCTTAATTTTGTATTCAAATACATTCGATTGTTCTCATTTCTGTTCTCGTTCACTACAATACTACTGTCATGCTATTTCTTGAAAAGGAATAAAATGAAACCAGATGACATATTTATAGTCTGTAATGTATGTATTCTGCATATCCACCATCCATCTTTACTTAGAATGCTTTTGAATTAAGGCAATACGCACAGTATGCACATATGCCAATAAAAGACTGATCCATTTCAATCCTAAACGTCAGTGGGAAGATTCAAACAAACAATACTAGGTGAATATAAACTTCACTCCATTTCACAAACAAATGGCTAGTAGGACTCAGTGGCTAAGTCGATAACGCAATGGAGTTTAAAGCATAAAGTACTGGGTTCAAGTCCTGGAATGAACACTAACTCTGAGATGCAGATACATCCAGCGGACGAGTTTTAAATAGGACTGAACATGCATCCTGGATTCTATTGCTAGCCACTACCCATTACTTACTTTCGCCTGTTAATCTCGATGGAGCATAGGCCACCGACCAGCATTCTCCAACTCACTCTGTCCTCAGCTTACTTTTCCACTCCTATTTAATTGTTATTTATTCTCATATCTGTCTCCATTTCTTGGTATAATGTGTTCTTTGATCTTCCTCTTCTCCTTTAGCCTTGAGGATTCCAAGTGAAAGTGCTTTCCTCAATGTGTGTCTTATCCACTTTCAGAGCTTCTTTCTGACTTCTTCCTCCGCTGGAATCTGGTTTGTTA